AGAACGTGGAGCAGAAGGCTGAGCTGGGTTGTCTTGACCACTGCTGCTGCACAGTGGGCTTGTGGCCTCTTTGCACTGAGAGATCCTACTGATTTTTTTTTTTTGCCTTGCCTACTGAGTTGAAGTTTCATTGACAGACTATATTAATTTATTAATGGAATCTTATCTAATGATCAAACTGTTTTCAATTAACAGATAAAAATCCTGTGCAAGGGCATAATATGCTGTTCAGCAAGCAAACTAAAAGCCCTGACCCCCAGGCAGCATTTCTAGGAGTCCAGAGAGAGGCAGCATGCAAACACTGTAGATGTTCCTCTAATCTTGCCTCAAGGCAGCTGAGGGGCAGATCAGCCCAAATACATCCAGCAAAAGCATTATATTTATGTAGCAGCAGTGGGACCATTAAATCACAACAGTGCCCCAGGGCTGGGATCTGACAGGGTAAGGAGAGGCTGTATTGAACTGGAGCATGCAAGGTGTGGTGGGGATGAAGAGAGGAAGTGTGCAGTCACTGTACAACGGGTCAGGGCTGGAAGGGTGAATTAATTCTTGCCTACTGTTTAGTGCAACACCACTGAATTTCAAATAATTTGAGAGAATTTATTGGATAAGAGTACATTGGACTACCAGGGATGGAAACATTTCATTTTTAAAATGAGCAGATGATTCTGCTGGGCCAGGCTCATCTTGGTGGTGAGAAAGGAGATGTGCCTGGGATACACTTGAGGCCTTGGTGCAGTAGCACAGGGGACTCATTGGTCTTTCTGACCTTAATGGTTCTGTAAGATCACCTAGTCTGTCCATCAGCCCATGTCTGTGGGCTTTATACTGTGTCCCTCAGTGCCATATTTACTCTTTTCTTGAACCCCTCCAGCAATGGTGACTCCATAACCTCCCTGGGCAGCACATGCCAGTGTATAACTTCTCTTTCTGTGAAGAAATTTCTCCCAGCGTCCAGCCAGTCATTGGTCTCTTTGGCAGCTGCTCAACAAGCTCACCTCTTAGTTTTCTAACTCCCTTTCTGGATTGTTGAGGTTTCTTGCTCTGACATGTATTATTCATCTATTCTATTGAGGTTAGCCCATAACTGTCAGAAACAACAGGTCTCTATGAATGCAGCCTGCTTTTAAGCAGAAATGCCTCTCCTCTCCAGCACCACTCCCTGCTGTGCTGGAGCTATTCTTACTCCTATTTGCACACGCAAGGCTTGCACTGCTCATGTTCCTCCCAGCAGGCCCCAGAGGGCAGCAGGAACAGCTGTGTGCCAACTGCCCACAGCCACTGCATCCTGAGCACATCTCCTCCAAACCTCTGGCACTCAGTTTCACTGTGTGACTATGCAGCAAGTGTGTCACATCATCATATCCAGCATGTGCTTTCGTGAGTCTGGTATGTTTCTTGTGTTAGGCTACTGTCTGTGAACATTTTTCCTTCCCTCCCTCCTTTACAGAATTTTGGATCTAGCTTTTACCTATGAGGCAGCATCTCTTCAGATTAATTTTTTGTCCCACAATACAACACAGTGCTCAGCACTTGCACTGGATGATGGATGAGAAATTTCCTTCTTGGTTAATTTAAGTTTGTTCTCTCTTTCCCCTTGAGTTTTACTCTCTAATTAGATGTGTTGAATTGCAATGGTAACCAATTTTCAGATGCATAGCATTTGATACAAAGAGGAATCAGAATGTTGAGATGTAGCTGTAGGTTAGCAAAAGGCTATTTGGCCATCACACAATGACTGATGTCATTTCTCTAGGGCTACCTGGATATCTTATATGGGCACACTTGCATTTCTTTCACCCCTTGTCCTGTTCAAGTTGTACTGTTCTTAATATTCTGTGAGCTAGGCATACTTTACAGATACACAAATTCAAAGTACATCTAGGCTAACATGTAATGTTTGATTTAAGAGTAACTTCAGGAGCATCTTTGCTTCAGTGTTGAATCTTGCACTGTGAGTTTGGATTTTTAAGCGCTGACACCTTTTGCATGAGTTCCTTTATCCAGAGTAGCAGATCCCAGCTGTTCTCAGGAGCTTCCTCCTAACATTAGGTGATAATTACATCCTCCTGACATTTCAAACGTTTATACCAAAAAATGTAGTCATCTTTTGGCTTCTAGATTATGAATGGAGAAAAAATCTGAAAATCTGTTTAGAAACTTACTGTAGAATCATAGAATGGCTGGGGTTGGAAGGAACCTCAAAGATCATCAAATTCTAATGGCCTGTTGTGGACAGGGTTGCCAACCACCGAACCAGGCACTGGATCAGATTGCTCAGGGCCTTATCCAATGTGGTCTTGAACACCTCCAGGGATAAATTCTATCAGTATACCCTCTAATGTACAAAGGCATTCAGAACTGCCTTCCCCATTATAACCAAACTTGGGTAGTATAACTGAAATTCACCAAACTCACACAATGAAATGGGAGATATCAGTACACTGCAGTCATTTTTCATCACTACTGGAGTCCTCAGCCCAGAAAGATTGCTGGCTGGAATTCTCCAGCACTTGTGACTTGTTCTTCATCAGTCAATGCTAACAGCCTTGTAGTTGTTCCTGGGGCTTCAGATATCCAGGCTTGCACTCAAAGAGACCAGAAGGTTTGACCTAATAATCAGAGCTATACCCACAAAGTAGGCTTGGGGGGAAAAAAAAAAAAAAACCCACAAAGATGTAAAGAGGGGAAAAAAATACAGGTCCAGAATACTTGATTATCATTGCAGGCACATTTTCAGAGCTTGTAGCTTCCCTCCCGCTGAGCTCTGGGACCCACAAGACATATCATGTGTTAGAGGAATCCCACCCATGGATGAGGCAGTCCTACTCTGCTCTCAGCGCTCACAGGATGCAGCTCCCACTGAAGCCATACTAAAGCAATATTTTTAACATGACTTGGAAGAATTGTCATCTCTTCCTGAACTGTCAGCTGAAAGTTGGGGTATTTTTAGCAATTAGCTGCATTCAAATGTTCTTGGTGTGATTTGCATGGACAGCAAATGGTTTAGTCGATTAGCAGGAAGGGTCGTCTAATCCTCTGGACAAAAGCAATATTCACCATCTTCAAGGCAGGTGGAAATCTCCACGCTTTGTAGCATGGACTGATTTGCTGGTTTCAGGAGGGGCCATGTTATCCATGGCACTTCATAAAATTAACACTTCTCCCTTGAGGAAGTCTGACATCAGTTATTAGGCTACCGTGGAGTGGTAGGAAGCTCTGATATAGGTGGCAGTGTAGTATGATCACTGCCTCAAAATGGCCCCGATTCTGCTCATATTTGAGTTGCTATTACACAAGGCATATGCTTTCACTTTAAGCCTGCAGTCAAGGGGCTTGAGCAGATGCTCAAAATTAAGCGAGTTGTTCAACAGATTTGTTGTAAGTCCTCCATTTGCTTCCCGCATTTAGTACTGCAAAGCAATTTGAGTATGTCTCTTGCTTGATCTGCAAAGCTGGGGAATTATTCAGCTGGGAAAAAGTGCAAAATATTAATTGCCGGCAATTGGCACCTCTCCTTGACTTCTGCACAGGAGCAAGGCACAAGCCTGCCAGCTGCAGCACTTCTCTGAATGAAGTGTGAGGCTGTTGGAGGCAATGGCCACTGGATGCGGCTGCCCCGTAGCTCAGAGCCTTGCAGGAAGGGCTGGGTGGGAAAATCTCTCTTCAGGCATAAAATCACCTATACTGCAGAGCTACACCAAGACAAATCTTTTTCTGCCTCCTGGAGGGGAGAGAAGCACGGTCTGCCTCTTCTGTCTCTTGACAAGCATCTGTGTGAGTCAAGATTTCCTCTGCAAGCCAATGTAGGAACTTTAATGCCTGACATTAAATATTCATTTTCAAAGCTGCATTCAACTGGAAAAAAAGTCAATTAGAGTCTCTTGCAAGGGAAAGAAAAAAAAGTCTATTAGCTAAAGTGGTGACATTTCCTTTTGATAGAAAGCTGGTGTTTCCAAGAGTCTGAGATAAAGGCTAACAGGCAGTAATCAAAGAATGCATGAACTAGGCCTTATGCAATATCTCTTCCATCTGTTCAGCACAGATCCATGTGATCCTCACCATTAAGCACTGAGATTTCACTTCATCCTACAAAAGAAATCTCTTGCAATATGTGAGGAGTGTTATGTCCAGGCCATAATCTTTCTGCCTGGACTTGTGGGCACATTCCCCCATAGCTGAGCTAAACTGAAATGTAAAGCTTGTCTTGGCCAAGTGTAAAACCAGTCACCAGTCATAAATGTAGATCTGAGAGGGTCTTGTCTTCATCTGTAGCTGATGTAGTGCTGTATTTTGGACTTCTTATGAGAATAATGGAGAAAGCACAGCGATGATTAGTTGTTGCTGAGCAGTGCTTGCACAGAGTCAAAGATTTGGTGAAACAGCACCAGGACAGCTGACCCAGACTGTCCAAAGGGATGTCCTGTACCATATGACACCACACTTAGCAATGATACTGAGACAGTTGGTTGTTTGGGGGTGGCTAGCTTTGTTCAGGGACTGGCTGGGCATCAGTTGGCTGGTGGTGAGCAATGGCACTGTGTATCACTTGTTTTTGTGTTTTTTTTGTTTCCTTTTCTTTCTTATTAAATGATTGTTACCTCAACACCTGAGTTTCTTTTTATTCTTTTTTTTTTTTTTCTGATTCTTTATCCCATTGTTTTGCCCAGAGAGGGAGTGAACTGGTGTGTGGTGCTGAGCTGCCTACCAGGCTAATGTACAGCGTAGAGCTTGAGAAGGCGCTGGACTCAGAGCCCTGTACTCTCATTTGTCTAAAAGGTGTGTAGAAAATACTATGTTGCATCTCAGATGCTGGGCTAGAACTGAGTTTTCCTGGAGAAGCCTGACCGGCTGGTGAAGTAGAACCTCTCATCTCATTGCTAGTAGTGATGCTTTGATTATGCTTGTTAAGAGCAGACAGATAAAGCATTGACCATTGTACCCATTCAGTATGGCTTTGGTGTTTGTTGTTTCTTTCTTTTTTTTTTTTTTTTTTGTAGAATCCTAAAAGCAGAGCTGCTTGCAAAACAAATAGAAGAAACTGCCTTCGTTGGGCTTCCCTCCTCACCCTTCAATGAGAACCTCTGAAGTTGTACCAGGCAGCCCCATTGCTTATGCAGCAGTGCTCTGGCTGTGAGTTCCAGTAATCTGAATACCCAGTGAGTATTTTTTCTAGTGTTCTTTAGAGAAAACATTAATTAGCCTCAATCAAAAGTAAAGAATCTGATGCTTCATCCTCTGGCACTGCGTGTTCCTTGATTGAAAAGAGACAAGCTGGTATTTGTGTCTCTGCCTCTTTCCACTGCAGAGGAGACAACTCAATGAGAGAACAGGTTTTGCAGAGAAAGTTGCTGGGAATCAGAAAGCCGTACAGAACTGCTGAGGCCAGGGGGAAGGGGAAGGGAAATGGTTGCAGTTCTGGCCTCTCTTCAGCAAGCAGCCACTGCATAACCTTTATGGGTGTGCCTTCTGTTTTTAGCTTGAACAAAAAGGATGGGGTGAAGAACCTTTCACAGATCTTTATCAGCCTCCACCACAATGTATTCTGAGCTTGGAAACAGAGGCATCCATGCTTGCGTTTACTCAACTTGAAAGGGATTTTTCTATGTAATTCCACATAAAAAGGATCTCACACTTGTTCCTTTTCTTATAATGTGAACTTACAAAATGATGAACAGGCTTGATTCCTGTGAAGGTCAGTACATGTGCTCAGCTAGGAGCAGGATTTGTCCCCTTTGCTTTATGCTCATGTACTTAGTTTATGATTCTTTCTCCTTAGCTAAGGTGTTAAAATGCCACATTGCTCCATTTGTTCTTCACCAGGAGCACAAAAATTACTGTTCCTTCAAGCAAGTGTGGAAATGATTCCTTTTTTTTTCCTGCTAATGGGCTTATGAAGCTAATGGGCTTCATAAAAGTGTCAGAGATTGGTGCAGATGAAAAGGGACCACTGTAGACCTCTACTCAAATTGAGTCCAGCAACAGGTTGCTCAGGGCCTTGTACAGCTAGTTTTGAATATCTCCAAGGATATAGATTTCACAACCTCCTTGGGCACCTGTTTCTGTTTTTTATCACGCTCACGATCTTTCCTTCTTGGTATCAAAGTCAAGATTTCCTTTACCAAATTGTCCATTGCATTCCATCCTTCTAAGCATAGACCTCTCCAGAGGGTCTGACTCTGTCTTCTATAAATTCCCAGAATCTGGATCATGTAAGGAAAAATAAAAAGAAAAAAAAATTAGCAGAATGGCAGAATGTACCTCAAGACTGAGACTTCAGGTATTATAGAGCTGCAGGGAGATTAATCAGAGCTACTTCAGACCTCATTTAGTTGAGGAACAAAAATGTACAAAAATCATATTTGATCTGAGAACCAAACATTGCTCAGAGCCTTGCACACATCAAGGAACTTGAATATATTTGTCACTAAGGAGATCCAAAGAGGAACTCCTCTCCAAGCAAGTTTCCAACCAAATTGCCCAGCTTTCTTTTTAAGAAACTGTTCTCTGAGCACCCCAACATTTTGTGGTAGTCATTTCTAAGATGGTCATTTCTTTTTCTGGTTGGATTCCATATGTGCTATTAAGCACAGATTCTTTTACAAATATGGATTCCCCTAAAACTGGTTGATATCATGTGTGAAAACCAAAGATAGAGTAATGGGCTGTAATCCTGTCAATGTTTTATGGCTTCAGGGTCAGCTCTGAATTTGGCTCATTATGTTGGTCACCTGATGGCACTGACAGCAATGTGGAGTCATGAGAGTGACATCTGTGAAACAAGGCACTGAAAGCACTGAAAGTAAGATGTCTCTTGGGAGCTGTATTCTTAAGTATCTGTAGAACTGTAGCAAGACTCTTCTCTTGTTGAAGCTCATACTTTTAGTTGCTTGTACCACCTTAACTGCTGTGCAGAGGCAGTAGACAGTTGTAGAGACCAATGAGGTCTCCACTCAGCATCTTCTTCTCCAGACTAAAAAATCCCAATTCTCTCAGTCACTCCTTATAACACTTATTTTCTAGTCCCTTCATCTGCCTCATTGCTCTTCCATGTGGCTGGGATAACAGCTAGTAAATAGAAATGACTTTGTTTTCCCCCCCCAGGTCATCACTGACACCTGTCCTTGCAGTCTCAGCCCCCACACACCAAGCACTGCAGACTGGATGTGTCCAGCACAACCATAATTGAACTCCATCTGAGCAGCTGTGTGCTCACAAGGGTTGTGGAGGTAGGAGTATCTGCTGGGGCTGCTTTGCACCAAGGTCCTCCTGGCCAGAGTGCTGTGAGTTCCAGTGTGTCAAGTAGTCAAGATGGAGAAGCAGTGTGAAAGATGCACTATGTGAGAGCTGTTATAAACCGAAGTGGTGCTATATGTATTTTTTACTTCGTCCCAAGAAGCATACAGTCATCTTTTGGTCTATTTTGGTTCCTGAGGATGTGAATAGAAATATGACGCAGGGTAACTAATTAAGACTAGTTGCAGAATGATTAAACTAAGCAGTATTTTCTTTGGAAGAATCATGAGCATTTCATGCCTTAGATAAGTGATTTCCATATGCTTTCTCTTGGCCAGGAAATGCAAGTTGCTTGCTACATCCCTGCTGGCTTTGGTCGCTGAATTCTTGTTGTTAGAGATAATGAAAACTCTCATATCCCATTCTCTCCTATAGACATTCTGTTCAGGGGGAGTCTGAGCATTTCCTCCCATCAGCAGTAATGATAATGGGTCTCAATGAGCAGCCACTGAGATAAATGTACACATGACAACAAATTGGCAGCTATGGATGCAACCCTGAAAGAAAATGACCACAGGACCCCAGAATCTCTCCTGGAGGTCTTCGATTTCTTGGTCCCTTAATGAAAAAGGATGATTATCACTTCAGCCAAGAGTGATCCCTGCAACTGGCTCATTCTTTTAAGAGATGCTGTAAGGAAGGGCCATGCTTTCCAAAAGCAGTTTCTAAAATGTAACTGTAGACCACAGGATTGCATTGATGCAGCAGCTTGGCTATGACCTGAGGAGGCTGAGAATAGCACTGGGGCCTCTGCCAAATCTGAGGCCTCATCTCATCTCTGGGGCATGCAGGGATAATTCTCTTATTCAGACAGAGCAAAAGCAGGACAAGGCACACTACCTGTAAACAAGCGTCAGTGTGCAAATGTGGAGCCATCCACTTTGATAAATGCTGAAATGGTATCCCTGCAGCAGCAGCTGCTTCCAATGCATCTGGGCAGGCAAGAGCTGCTTGTCCTCTGCATCAGCCCTACAGTGCCAAAACACGGTCAGCAGTGTTGCAAGAAGGCAGGGCCATGCAATCTCCCTGCAGATCACTGAAAGTTAGTTTTATCTGTAAGTAGCTCCTGTCAGCCTTAATATGTGCAAAGCTTCATGGAAGAAGTGCCTGGTCTCAGCACATTTGCAGAGAGGATGTGTTCCCTTTGCAGCACTAACCAGAGTGGCCAGCTCTGGCTGCATGCAGCCTCAGTATAGAGATGATACGCTCCACTCTCACCCAACAGGAGGTCAGCATGCTGTGGAATAAGACATGGTGGCAAAACTGGCCTTTGACTGCCCTCATGCCATTTTTCTTGGCATAAGGGGACTTCAGTTTCCAGGGCTGCTAATCCACTGTAAAGTTCATCTCGTAGCTGGAGGGAGGGGAGAGCTGCAGCTTTACTTAGAATTGACATGTTGCTCTGAAATGTGTTGCTTTTGGCTGATGTATTTATCAAGCAGTTGTTTCTCTTGTTTCCTTCTCCAATTTATATCATCACTGCATGGCACACTTTAACTCTCTGGTGTGCTTTGTGCAGTTTGTCTACAAGCACAAAGCAGATGAAGGCAATCTGATAGTAGCTGGTTTGCACTCATTAGAGCAGCACTGGAGGGTTTGCACTCAGTGCTGACAGTGTTCTAAGATTAGGAAAGCAGAGATCAGGGCTCTTCCAGCCCTCCCTCTCTGTCTGATCGTTACCAATTGCACACTGTGTAAATGGGATCTGAATCAGATCCCTGAAAAAATGCAAGGCATCTGAATTAAGTGGCTTAATTTGTTTTGGTAGATCTGTGAATACATCAGATGCCCAGACAGGTTTGTGAATGAAGGCAACTGGGAATGAGGCAGAGCCTGTAAGGGGGGTAATGAGGATGTGGCTGCCAGCATAACAGGAGTTGTCTCCTCACCAAGGGCCAAGTGTGGTGAATTATGGGGTATTTTCCACTTCCACTGCTCATTAATTGCACTTAATGAATTAGTGGAATTTGCCATGTAATGGGTGCTCAAAGGACAAAAATCAAATCCTGCTGCTCACCTGGGCAGAGATGCAGAGTATCTGAACAAATATTAAGTCCAGCCTTTGCCTGATAAAGAGAGGTGGTGGAATAAAGTCATAGAATCATTAAGGTTGGAAAAGATCACTAGGATCATTGTATGCAACCATCACCACCTGGTGAGAAAAAAGGTGCTTGGGAACTCAAGTGAGGACATAAGCTTCTGAACAGCATCCACATAAAAAAGCAGGTGGCCCAGGAAAGAGTCTTCCATAGTTTTGCCCAGGGCTGACCAAATGGATACAGGATGACCCAGATTAGGAGACCTGCATTTTTGCCCAGAGGTGGTTTTCCTGCTCATGTCGGCGGGCAGCAGAAATCAAGAAAGGGCCACAGGTGCCTACTTGGCCAGTGCTCATCCACCTCCAGCTCACCATGCTGAGCGTCTCAAAGGAAGGCCCCACAGCAAGACTTACAATCATGTCTTCCCTCTATCATGTCTCCTCATTATCATCATTAATTAGGTATGAATTTAACCTTCGAAGTCCAACGTGTTACGTCCTTTTTAATGTTTGCAATTAGGAGAACTCTAAATAATTTTTCAGCATTGCTTTGCTGCAACACCTGCCCCTAGCTGTAGACTCTGTGGTTTAATTAACCTGCCATAAGAACAAATTTCCTCTTACCCTTTTTTAATTTCCCACTCTCTAATTTGATCAAATAGTCATTTGTGTCTCAGTTGCCACATGGGGACTGTAAAACAAGGATGATAGCACAGTGTTTCTACCCGGGGGTAATGTCAGTGCAAATAACCTCAGTTCCTGGCAAGCATTCGGATGCTAGCTACGGCAAGTACTGTGGCTGTGCTGAGCTCTCTGATATAAGACCTTAGACTGATCTTCCCCAGATGTGCAAGTCACACCCCTGTTATGTTGTCACTGAATTACTGAGATGAGGCTGCTCAGTGAAGTTCCCAGTTGGTTTGAATATTGCTTCTCCTCCACCAACTGCTTCTTCCTCGCCTCTTCCCACATCCATTTTCCCATGCATCTGGAATGCTAAAAAAACAATCTTATTTAAAGAAGCTTTCTAAAAAGGGGAGAAACCATCAGAGCTGCTTCCTAGAGAGTTCTGTGCTGGACTGTAATGCAAAATTGCTCAGGACTCCTGAGGAGGAATCATAGAACCATTAAGGTTGGAAAAGAGCACTAAGAGCATCATATCCAACCATTAATGTGTCACCACTAACTAAGTCTCAGTGCCAGCCAGCTCTAGGTACCAAAACCCCACCCTTGCACAGGAGCCATGGTAGGAGATGCATTCTCTCCCAGACAGTAGGATAATCCCTTTCATTTATTTTGTGGCAAGACAATATGGCACTCAGATGTGGGGTACATAGTTTTGCATCCCCTTCCCATTGGAGTGGTCTGGGGGTTGATCACTTGCACAAAGAGAGAAGGCACAGCTGAGTCAGCCACTTGTTGCACCTAGTCAGCTGCCTAAATGCAACTAAGTTCATACCAGTTATAGCAATTATGTGCAGCACCATGGAAGAAACAAATCATTCACATGGACAGGATAACATAGCACTGAAAAGGTTTTTTGTACAAATTTCTCAATTAGTGCTAAATTGTCTCCCCAAGCAACAAATCCAGACCTCAGTAAGAACAGTTCTGGCTCCCCTACAGGATATATGCAGTAGTGTTCCAACATTTTCTCACTCTATGAGGTGCTCCACAGGGTAGAAAACTTGTCAGAAGGCATCTTTACATATATAAGAAATGGAGATCAGTGCAGCACAGTATGGAGGACTTAGTGCTCAAGGCACTGTCAGCACAATGCAAGGGGAAGCACTTAGTTCTGTTTCAACAGGAAGCTGTGTTATGGCTTCCTGGGACCTGCACTTGCAGAATGCAGATAGGTAGTTTGATTCAGTTCTGCTCTGGCTTTCAGAGGAATCTAGTGCAAAATGGCCCTGAAGTCAAAATATAATTCTGCTGGAGGTGTTGTAAAGTGTGGGTGGAATTCCTATATAATCACATGACTCCAGACAGGGAGGCTTTAAGGAAAGTACTATGGATCCTGATATTTATGATGAAGCCTGCAGATCAGCCCTAACAACTGGATGCCTTTCCTCACCTACGTTGCTGTGCACAATGCAGGGAGCCCATATGTGATACACGGCTTTTCCTGGAAGCACCGCACTGTCTGCACCAGCAGTCAGTACTGGACATAAACAAACTACAGGTCTCATGTGCCTTTGTGGCACTTGTCATCCAGTAGGATCCCCAAAGCCAGCAGCCTGCTGACACTGGTGTGTTGTTAGAAAGGGATGTGGAGTGCCTGCATGGGACCATAAAAATCTTACCCTCTCTAACTGCTGCAGCTTACTGTAAAATAGCAGCCAAACACTGAGGCTTCTGAAATACCGAATTTACTCCAATGTGTGATCCCCTGGGAAAACGGCCTTGCAAGCACCACTTCTCAGTGCCACCAGAGCATCCACCGGTTTGTAACAAAGCACAGCATCCACAGTGCTGCCAGCATCACTGAGGGCCCTGGACGAGTCCTCGCCCACCGGAGCTGCCTTGCGAGAGGGACCCACGTGTCAGGCTTCAGACACAGAGATGCAGAGCGAGATGAGGCTTCGGAGAGCAACAGATTTACGATGGGAACTAACGTGACGTGGGCACTGCAACACCACAAACCAAGGAGACGCTCTGTGTAGGAAATTACATTGCAATGCAGTTAGAATCACAGCGCTGTAATGCTTTGTGTAGACAGCCTTACTTCGAGCCTGATCCTTTCAAGCACCGGGTTTGAGCTTATTCCTGTAGAAGAACCTCCTACCCTCTTTTAAAACGAAAATCCACTCAAGCCTACCTCGGACAGCGTTAATTTAGTGGCCCCAGCGGGAGGGAACACCACCAGGGAGCCGTTCCCCCTTTGCAGGAACCCTATAAATAAATACCGTATAAACAAAAAGTATTTTCAGAGGCGCTGGACACATTCGTGGAAGAACTCCCCCAGGGGTAATGGTATGCAGGAAGTCCCCGAGCCACAAATCTCGGAGTCGCCATCAAAGGAACAGAAAAACACCCGGCGACGCGGTGGAGGAACTTCAGCGCCTCGCACCGCCGTTCTCCAGCGAGGCCGCGCTGCCAGCGCCCCCTGCTGCCGTTGGAGGCTCTCGCCTCCGAGGTGAGAGAGCAGAAGGCCCCGCCTCCGGCCACAGCCACGTGACCGCTGCTCCCCGCCCCTCCATTGATACCCCGCACCGCACCGGAAGGTTCCAGGCGCAGCCAGACACGCCGAGTCGCTGCCCGAGCGGCGGATGGCGGCCGGGGGCTGGGGCGGGCAGGGCGCTCGGCGCTCGGCTAGCGCTGCCTGCGGCGGGCGCGCGGCGCGGCTCGGCGCGCCTGGGCTCGGGGTGGGGGGCTCGGCGCTCGGCGGCGATGGCGGAGACGGG